GCATCCCACCCGGATGCGTGGTGACTGCTGGTGTTGGCTCATCACTGACAACTAACAGTAAAAGATGTAACAACTGACAAATAATTTCTTTCCCCTACCCCCAGTCTACCAAGGAAGCAATACTAACAGCAGCTAAGAATGAGGGAAGTACAAAGCAGAAATACATAGAGCAGCATTTTCATTTTCTTACTTAAGCCTTTCCCCCTCCTTTAAATAAACAAAATTTACTCAGTTTTCCAACAGTATTTGTACCATTTTTATTTGTAAAAATAACCATCTGAATGCATTGCAAGAGTAGTTTACAGTTAGGGTTCTTCATTACATTAATACAGCATTCAGTAGTTGGAAAAGTTATTAAACTGTGCTTGAGAAGATTCAGGTTCAATTCCAAATTATTTCACTCACTGAAGTCTTTTTCCTTATTTCGTATGTGACGTGTACCCAAGTCTTTAAAGTTCAATTTACAAAAGCAAACCACTGACAAAACCCCACTGAAACCATCAAACAATATTTTATATTGTTTATTACAAACGTTATGCAAAATATAACACTGGCACCAGATTCATATCACCATGGTTTGTAAAGATATATTGCACATGCTAAAGCATAAAATATAAGACAAAACCTACAAAACGTAAGATATTGGCTTTAATATGTAGATCACTGCATAAGAAACGCATAAAATTACATTTTATACACACACTCAGATTGTCACTAGTTTAAAATGTCCTTTCCTATAACACTGACCTAAGGTTTACTGTTTGTGTAATAAGAAAGCATTTTCAGCACTGCAAAATTATACATTATTCCTATAGAAATTTAGCATATTAAGTTTCATTTCAATGCAGGTGGAACATATGAAAAGAAGACACACTTTATACATTCAAAGAAGGCCTGAAATGAAAATTTACTGGTAATATATTGCTTTTATAACACTCAAATGAAAAAAAAAAAAAGAGAGACAAGTTTCACAAAACATTTCCATAATACACAAATATAAAAAGGCACTCTAATATTTCTTACATGACTAAGAATAAAAACCACAAATTGTTTTAAAAAATCATCCTCAAGATACATAACCAAGTTTCTCAACAGTACAATGGATAAACAATTCGTTTCATGTGTTTGTTCTAATTCAATAACCTGGCAGCTGTTTACTGCATAAAAGTACCAAACACATTATGGTGCCCTTTTAGTAGCGATGAACAGAAATCCCCTGAGCTATTTCACAGCAATTTCAGGCAGTCCAGAGGTTGAAACTCAGTATTTATGAGAGACTCAGGACCCCATCCTGCTATGGATTCCACCTGCAGCTGTGGTTAAAATACGGGATGAAGAGATGCTGCTAACACACCCGGGCAGATGCTGCCCCTCCCCAAATACCCTTTGCTTGGTGCAGACACAGAAGTCGTCCACCTACTGTAAATTGCAGGATCCAGGGTTAAGTGCAACAATTAGGTATGATTAACTCTACTCTTGTACAAAGTCCACAGAAAGGCAAGGTGATTATTTACAAGAGTAAAATTATTCCCATGCTTAAATACCTGCCCTAAATTACAAATTTATTTCTACACGTGATAAATTATATTACAGATTAATGTACTAGCATACCAAAAAAGGGATTCTGGTAAGTCACATGAGATGTGAGGCCAATACTGAGTACTTCCAAGTGTCTTGCTCAGGACAGTTTTCCTCCTAAATACAGCACACCCAAAACACGACTCTCACAATGCCCTTAAGATGCTAACAAAACATGTTTCTATCATTTTTGGAATATTGCATACTTACATCATTGTTAGCGTAAGGAAAAGTTTAATCAGTGAAGTTTAGATTTGGTTCCTAGAAGGGTCAAAGTAATTCAGTAACCCCCTGTGCTTCTGTAAGGTTGTATACAACATTAAGAGGCAGCAGTTGTTGCAGTATGCAATCACCAGAGTTACAAGGTATTGCAAATATACATAATTATTTTCAGTAACTCTGTATGGTAGCAAGTAAAAATATTGATCTGATTTTTTTTAAATGGCTGATGAAAATACTGCAACATCCTCTTTGTAAAGAGGACTGCTTTTCTCCTAATGCAGCAACTTCATGTACAATAATGTAACTTTCTGTATTTCAGGGTGAGGCTTGGAATTAATCCTGCCAAGGAGCCTACCTGCATCTCTGGTTAAAATCAGATTAAAAGGCCAACCCTGCTGTTGGACAGGTGGCAGCCATCTCCTATTTGTTTGTTTTTAATGCCATCATTTCACCCTAATAAAAAATACAAAATACATTTGGGGGTTCTATTAATTTCTGAACAGACATCACTGAAAACTTCAACAACTGATCTCTCCCACTATTTTCAGTGCATAAAGTAACGCAGTTACTGCAACCTTCAAAAGCAAAAACATTGAGAAAAATAATTCATAAAAATGTTATTCTGTGCTATTTCTGAGAAGAAAACCAGGGTGTCAGGTGCTCAGTCATTCTACTGCAGAAACTATAAAGGTGAACATTTCTTTGCCCTCAACTCTACAGACACTACCCCTTGTGATTTTTTGTTGTAAACTTTGGAAATTTCTAACATTCACTATTAACCTTTAGCAAAGCAAAATAAACTTTATATATAAACATTTTCCTAATTAAAGAATTGGAATCTGTCAATAAGATTTTAACAGTTCAGTGGAGCATGGCTAAAAACTGCAACTGAATGAAACCCCTTACTTTTCACCGACCCTGCCGAAAGCGGTCCCCAGGGGCTTCAACACCTAGACCCCATGCTGTACAACCTCTTCCCCTCACTGTAGCTGTACAGTGTCCTCTCACTTCTCTGGCAAGGGGTTGGATCCTTTCTGTCAGAAGCAGAAAGCACAACACAAGTGGAAATGACAAAGCTCCACCCTGCCGACCAGCCCCTGGTGCCAGGGCAGAGCCGGAGCTGGGTGAGGAGCCAGTGCTGGGATAGGGAAATGGGGGATGCAGTGAAGGCTCATGGCAGTTGTCTGCTCCCTGCAGAAGCAGATAAGGGAGTTTTGTGCTAATTACCTGGAACCATTGTCAGCCCACAGCCCCATCCACACACTTTGTGCATCAGTAATTAAAAAAATAGTATAAATATCATCCCTTTTTGGACCCAACGACCAGCACCAAGTCAAGGGACAGATGGACGTGGTTTTGCTCTCCTCACCCCTCCCCAGAAGGGATGCCTTTTGGGAGGATTTGAGCCCTCACCAAGATTATTACCATAATTTTTAGTGCTCGGCCAACATCTAACTTTGAAGCCTGGTTCCTAAACCGAGGCCAGCCCTGTGTTTTCTCAGAGGACAATGCAGAAGCAAACTGCTTTGGTGACCCAGACAACAGCACGGACTCACCCGAGCGACAAGCTTACGCTGGAATGACGCTGACACTTATGCTGCACACAACAGTGCCACTGCAGGAGCAGAGCAACAAGAAGGAGAAAGTTGCAAAATTCAGGAGCAATTATTGCTACGCTGGGAACTAACTGCTTGAAGTTTTGATATATTTGTACTTTCTTAATTCTGACTTTGGTCATGACAATTGTTGTACTGCAATAAGCCACACTGGATGTGCAGCAGTGATAGTACAACAGATATTCAGCCTTGGGGACGAGCAGCCAACATTCTACAATATAATAAACTTATAAATATATTCCTGGTTTGGGTCTGACAACAGCCCTCAGGGTTTTACACCTTTTGACA